AGAAACGGCCGCGGATCTAGCCGCGGCCTCGGTCCAGATGCAAGTTTAGAAGCATCTGGACTGTGAATAGACTGCAGACTGTTGTGTTCAACAGTCTGCTTAAAAATGGTTGAGTACAGTCATTTGTGTACTGCGTCTGACCGCGGGTGAAGGCCAGATGCACTGTCAAGGGTCAGAACTTGGTTCCCCTAGGGGAACATCAAGTCCCTTGGCCCTTGATCACGAGTTTGATCAAGGGCCAGACTCTATTCCGGGATTTGGCTGGGGACAAAGCAGCTGCCCTCAGCCTTCGGCCAACTATAAAAGCTAGCCTGCCACCCAGCAGCCTCACTCTTGTGGCAATGCTGCTGGGGCATTCTACTTGAGTAGATGCTGGCTGGCTGGCTGCTGGTGTGATGAGGCGAAGTGCTGGAGGTCTGCGGTAGCACTTGGAGGAAGGAGGAGGTAGCCATAGCTAGAGGCTGGGAGCTTCTTGCCCCACCTCTTGTGCTGTGCTGCAGGCTGTGGGGGAGCCATAGCCGGGAGGTTGCCGCTGGATTGGGTGGTGCGGCGGAAGCGCTGCCGAAATTGTGCGGCGGCAACGCTGGTTCTCCTGGTGGGACGGCGGAAGCGCTGCCGAATTCTTGAGACGGCAGCGCTAATCTTCTTGGCGATACGGCGGAAGCGCTGCCGAAATAGTGCGGCGGCAGCGCGGATTCTCTTGGCGGTACGGCGAGGGCGCTACCAGATTTTGTGGCAACAGTATTTTTTGCACAAGACTGCGAAAAGGGGGGTTAGACGTTACCGCAGGGACGGTACCGCCGAGGTGGAAGTACACCTTGGGATGAGAAGAGTGTGGTGATCGTTTTGTTGAGGACGTTGCGGCACGCGGTACCTGTAACGACTGTTAAGGCCGCTGTTATTTTTTTGCGGCACACTGAGTAAGCGGGGATTGGGTCCGAGACCACCAAGTATTGCGGCAGGCAGGTGGTGGCCTGGCTTGGTATTTGGTGGGTCGAATCGGTGCTGTCTTTGGTGGAAGGTGTGACATTGAGATTGTGGGATTTGAGAGTGTGACGCCCTCCTCAACGGCGGGCTCGCTTCTGTGTTGGTGAGCGGCGCCTGAGTCAGAGGTGGCGGTTGAAGGAGGGAATGACCCATCCTTGTGAGTGGCCACAACGAGAGTTTTGCGACTGAACTTTTTTCAGCAAATACTTGACTTTYTTGAGTGAGCCTTCAAGAAATCCACTCAAGGTCAGTGCRACYCAGCTCCTTTGCACACCCGCGTGAACCCACACCTTGCATGACCTTGCTTTGAATTCAGGGGAAAGGGTAGAGTGAGAGTGTGATGTCATGCGTGTGCAGAAAGGGCTGACTTGTTTGAGGGATGGATGAATCTCTTGATTGTTTCTTTCTTGATTATGCAGGTAGGTTGGGGGATGCATGAGAGGAGGAATCAACATTGTTTGGTCGAGATAATAATGGGGATACTTACCTTTCTCCCTCTCAACCTGAACGCATGTGACGGAAAAGAGAAGGAACAAAAAAATATAACGGGAGTGCGAACGGACGGGTGCCGGAAGAACGAAGGCCGTGGGAAAATCAAAAGAAGAGAAGACAAGGGAACACCTTAGTATCTTCCCAAGGACTTCCCAATTCGATCCCGAACGACCATTATCCTCCTATTCCCGTCTAAAAATATTTTACTTCTTTCTCTTCTTAATTCGTCTAAGTCGACCCTTAGCCGGGAAGGCATAGAGCGGTCGTCTGCACCTAGGGTCTAAGCTTCTTCTCTCTAGGAGGCATCCGAGGTGGGGGTTCGTTGCCTTAGGGGCCGGCCCTGTTAGCGGCTCGGAGCGGACCGCTTATGCGGGGGGATACCATGCTGTTGCGGTGGAGCCAGCCCAACTTCTGAGTCCTGAACAATGTGTTCGGGCGAGGGGGAGGGGTATTCCAGACCACTTCCTAGAGGGTAGGGGGTCTTGAAGCTAGGAGCAGTCGCCTCCTCGTGCTTTCACGGAAAGGGGAGGCTGAATCTAGTACCCTGCTGGGTGGCCATATTAGGTGCCACCAACGCGAGGGAGGGCTGGCACCATAAGAAGCCCAGCCCGTGGCTCAACTAGAGTTAAAAGAAGTGCAAATAGGCACTACTTTCGAGGACGGACCGTGACACAAGAATCACGGTCCAAAAAGGGGAGTGGGGATTGAATATGAAAACGGGTATATCTAAATTTACTTTGACAGAGTTACCGCTTCGTCGTTCAGATGCTTGTGGAAACGTTGATCCTCTGACTGTTCAGCACACGCGAGGCGGCGGCTAATTGGCTAGCGGTGCCGACACGATCCCGCGCCGGCATGACACGAAAATAAAGGCTGGTGTACAACCCCCTTGAGGTTTACTCGGAACGGGATGGGCCACGATTCTGGGACGGAAGCGTGAGGAAACCACCGCAGAGTTATGTTTTCTTGGTTGAGCCAGACCAGCGTATTGTGCAATATGATTTTGCACCTCCTACTCCATCACGGGATTACGGAGACATGAACCTAGTTGTGGTTTACGAGGACTGTTCGGGAGTAGAGAACATTCCTGAGGTTAGGGGGATGTTCCTCCATATTGTACTCCATTTGAACGATTCCCAAGGACCATTCAGCCTTCTTCATCATGTGAGACGGGTCCGAGCGAATAAATTTAATATCATTCACTCGGAACGTTTATACGTCACCGCGTTTTATGACGAGGCTTGTGAAATCTTTGAGTGCCTCTTCTGACAGGCGGCTCTTTCGGTGTGCAGCTGTCCGGCGGACGGCGAGATCTTACTCAGGCCAGATATCTACTGATTTGCGACACTACGGACGAGGAGCAGATCCGGCGAGCGGAGCGATTATTATTGGTGCGGGATGGAGCACCCACACGCTGGATTGGTTTTATCGGCCTGCTCAACGATGGGCAGGGATTCTTTCCCAACTCGCGCGCAGACGTTCGAGCCAATGTGACCCGACTTCCGGGAGAAGTTCATGGATATACCTTGTACTTCCATCGCGCGAGCAACCTCCAATACCTCTCTCGGGTCATTGTGAACGTTAAAATTACCCTATCCGGGAAGCGCTACGGCGTCATCCGGATTAAGGACACCACGACCACGCACCTTTTTCGGATGCGTCAGCCGTTCCGCGCCATAGTCTGGAAGCTCGCCTCACGGATGGCTTCTCTCTATGATACGCGGAAGATCCAAGTTGTGCGAGGCGGATGTGTCTCCACCTTGACGTTTGACGACGAGGAGCTAACACGACTCGGCCGGA